TGGCTAAATTGTGATATGTTTACATATTAACAAGGGACTTTGGGAAGAAAAACTTTTTTTCAAGTTTTTGTTAACTATATATTTGAAAATTTTAATCCAGATTGCTAGACCAAAGCTAAAGTAAAAATGCTAAATATAAATTTCTATACTGAAAGATTTTAGGTTAATATTACTTTTACATCAGTTACAATAACTATTTGCAAAAAGACTTTTATGTATTTTATATTTGATCACAATTTTGACATGAATTATTTCATCAAAAGGCTGCTAAATATTTGACTGTAAGAGTTTGCTTTTCTATCAAAATGCAGTCTTTAGCTGCTTTTTTAAAATATATATTTTAGTCTTACTGCAAAGAAATGATATTGCCTTCTATTTGTTTGTTTTCATTTTTGTGCATCATGTGATTTTTGTTTTTGTTTTGTTTTGGTGTTGCAGACAGCCAAGTACTTTAGGTGATATTTTTAACCCTTGGACTTAGCAGAAGGGTGCCACCTGGTGGAAATGTGAGAAAATTATAAAACTTGCAAAAAAAACCCAAAAACCTCATTTAACAAAACTTGAGACTCTGATCTTTATGGGGGAAATGACACAAAGATTTTAAAAAAATTTCCATCGTATTTATGAGGCTCTGTTTTTTTTCACATTATTTAGGTCAATGGAAGAGACACAAAATTAACTTTAAAGTTTCAAGAACTATTATTTGCATTTTTTGTAGAAACTTTAAACAAATTCTTCACCATGCTACAGTCAAAGTAATTTGTGCACATAGACACGTAATTTTCAATTATTTTGCATTCTTCTAATAGGAATGCATTATATTTGAACTGTGCAGAAGAGATGGGGTTTCTCTGACTTAAGTCAGCTCCTGTCTGAGTCTTACCTCCACCGCATATAAAGATGAGCTTGACCAATTTGCTAAACTTTTAAAACCTTTTATATTCTTATCTCTAAGATAGGTATGGCAATGGAACTACCTTAAAAAGTTGCTTTGTTATTAAATTTAAAAATGCATTTAAATAAAGACTACCTTTTCAAACCTGAGAAGGGTACTGTGTAATGGCAAGCATTAAGAAAGTTATTTCAAAAAAAATAAAAAAAATACCATCAGCAACTGAAGAGCTTATATACTTCAAGGTAAAATAGGATATTGATCTTGTTAAGTAGAAATGACCAACTCTAACTAAGTCAAAGCAGTTGTTTTTTTGACATTTTGTAAATATGAAGTGTTATGAAAATATAAAAAACATTTGTAACCATTTGATTAATTGATTAGCCCTTAAAAGAAAGAGTAGTCAAATGGCAAAAAAAAAAAAAAGAGAAAAACCTCCCAAAATTCAGAATATTAATAAAAGCTATAGTCCCTGTCATGCTTGTTGACAATTCCTGGGCAGTGTATGCCACTGGTCACAGCACTCTGAGCCAGAGGACTGTACAGGTAAGGTGAAGCAAGGAGGTCGAGCCCTCCAGAGGACTCTCACAGTAACCAATAACCAAATGATATGACTCATAACCATTTTCACTTAGAAGAAAGACTATGGTGTTCTGCTGTTCTGTAAGTGGAAATAGGTATTTGATGGCCTCAGGGCAAAGCATCTTTGAGGTTTCATAAAAATCTCTTCCATGGAAAGTGAAAGACCTTTTTGGTAACATTCAAAAACTTAAATCGTTCCAAATCAATATATAGTGAGTGATCACCTAGAACAGGGTCCTTATGTAACCACTAGGTAGAATTTCATAAAATTGTATTTTTATTTGAACTTTGTAATTTTTTTGAAAAAGCATAGAAACTAAATTCATCACATCTGTCCCATAGATATTATGTCATATATTGCATTAGAGTTTTGCGACTTAAGCCACAATGACTAATACTCTTTAATAAAAACTTAGTAACCTTATGAAAAGTAGTTTAAGCATTTGCAGCACCCTGCACTTTTTGGCCATCATATTATGCCAAATTTTAGACAAAGACTGTAAAAGATAAAGGTATTTCCTGGGATTGCTTGAAAAACCCTCAGTGGGATACTGCCATATATATTTCAGTCGGATTTCCTTCTTCCTGCAAAATCAATCTCTTTTACTTAAACACTTGCATAAAATGCATACCATTGACATTTTAAAATCAAGCAAATGCTCAGAAAGACACTTTAAAATACTCAATTGAAACAAGAGTTCTGTGAATGGCAACTTCCTGATTATTTGAAGTGGTCATTAAAAAATTGCCTTCTATCAAGAAAAATCTATTCAAGCTTGAATCTACACTTTCATATGAATTTTAAGTACTAGATTAGTCCTGACAAAAGGATTTGCTGTTTATTTGCAATGCACCCGCTATTTACACGTACAAGTTCATTTTCTGTGTGTCTGCTTCTTCCTCCTCATCTCCACCACTGAACTGTTTGCAGCCCCTCAAGTAACCAGCTGGTGTCACAGGTTAGTGAGCAAAGATTTCATGTGGGGACTCTCACCTGACTAATCATTCTTATCGCTAGCATCATTCCAAGAGCAGTAGAGAGGCTCAGTGGCTTGCTAATGAAATTTAAAAGCTGTCAGTCTGAAGGAGGTTGTTCAATTCTTGATTTTTTCTGATATTATTTTATGCATCTGCTAATCAGTGTCCAAATTGTGATGTGTGCTGGGGTGAGGAGGAGGGGTGCATTGTGCAGGGAGGTCCAAGAAAAAGGATAGGTGACATGTTTTAACATTTTCCTACTCAACTCAGGGCCAGAGGATGGTTTAAGAAGACAAATGATTAGTAGAAGGAAAAATAAAAAAGAAAAAAGAAACGTGTACTCTGGCAAACGGAGGGCGCTTTGAAACGTCGAGTAACCCCCACCACCTGTGTGAAACATATGTGAGGAAAATGAGAAGGGGAGAGGAACAGGAGAAGAGAGACTATGAGCCAGGAACGATGCCCAGGACTGGAATATTAATCACGGCATCCCTGGCGTTGCCTCCTCTGCCTCGCTGCCTCTCCCGGGCGATTTGGACAGCTCCCCTGAACAGGCTTCGGTGCTCGGAAGACAAGAAGAGCCCGGTTGCTCCAGGAGCCTAGCTCCTTCCACCCCCTGCACCTCACTTCTCTCAGTAAGCTGGGAGTGTCTCTGCAGGAGCGCCTCCGGCGGCCTTCGACAGTGCTCTCCGGGCAAAGAGCTCCATCTCTGTGCCCCATTGCCTGGGTCCTCCAGCTTCACAGTTAACCACGGACCTAAGTGCGATTCTCTGCTCTGAGTCTTTAAGTGCTGTGCACGCGACCGCGCAGGGAGCCGGCTCATCACAACCCCCCACCCCCTTCTCACCAGAGCGCCTCGGCGCTTCCGACCCTCCAACTTTTGGGGAAAAAGCGACGACAAAAGAACTCACAAATCCTCTCAGTTCAGAGACAGAAACGACATGGGGATTCACCATACAGTTATGCTACAGATGCCTAAAAACCGAAACAGAAAAGGGGTAGCAAATGCGGAAGGACAGAAAAGGGACAGCAAGAGCCCTCAGCCAACACAGGGCACCTCATCTCTGCAGACAGAACACATCGGACCAGACAAATCACTAAAGCCGCTACCTTTCCAGCTCCTTTAATAATCTATACCTTTCTGTTCCCCCAAGCAGCTTTCCACTCAACAGAATAGCGATGCCTGGAACACCCTCTCCTCCAGCAGCCTTCTCATCCCAATCTCCTCAAAAGAAAAAGAAGAAGGGGGAAAACTGCCCGCCTAAAGGTCATTTGCCCATCCCGGTCGCTTCGCCAGCGCGCTTTGGGGCTACGGGAAGACCGGGCTTGAACCCTGACAGTGGACACCTCTTGAAGCGCGGTAGGATCTTCCAGCGTGCGTTAACAGGAAGCAAAGAGGCCCCCATTGCTTGGCAGCTGCCACCTCTCCCTCCCTCGTTCGCCCGCCCAGCGGGGCTCCCCGGAGCACCCCGAGCCTTTACCTCTCTCCCCCCGTCCCCGCGGCTCTCCACCTTGTGCATCCTCTCGCCCGGCCCCGGAGCGCACTCAGATGCTCTAACTTCCTGCAGAGTCCATGGATGAGCTGAAGGGAGCCTGGAACTGGGGCGGGAGGAGGGTGGGGAGAGGGAGGCGTGGGAGCCCTGCCCGACCGAGAGGCGGGGGAAGCACGGACTGGAGCCACCCCTCCCGGGAGGGCCTGACCGCAGCTGCCAACTCTCACCTGGTCCGCCGGCTGCGCCTGGCTCGCCCTGGCTCCCGGGGTGGGCTGCTGTTCCTGCTTCATGGCTGTCATCGCCGGCGGCCCTCGTTGGCGCTCACTTCCTCGCGGGCACTTCAGACTCGGGGACCGTCACTTGGCAGCGATTGCATGTCACAGGCACCCGGCGCTCTCCGAATTGGCAGAAGAGAAAGCGGCAGCGACGGGGTGGGGGGAAGAGCGGCACCAGGCAGGCTCCCCAGCGCAGGATCCCTCCTTCGGCTTAGGCAGACCCTCTAACTCCCTAGTCCCCCCGCCCCCCCATCACCCGAACCGTAGAGAACCTCGGAGACCAGAGACGATCAAGTGGCAAGTTAGTGGAGCTGCGAGCGGCGGGCTCTCGGCACCTGACCGCTCTGGAGCGACGTCTCGCAACGCCTGAGGTTCCGAGCTCTCATTCTACTGCAGTCCTCGTTCCCCGCCCTCCCGGCCGCCAGCCCCCGGGGGCTCCCCGCGCAGCGCTCAGCCAGCCAGGTGGAGCAGCCCGGCGCGGCGCTCCACCATCCCCCGAGCAACCGCAACGCGGGAGAGAGACCTGCGTGGCGCGCGAGCTCGCCACTCGCGCCGCCAAGGCTGGCAGGCTCCGCGGGTCCCCCCCCCCCTCCGCCCCCCGCGGGCTTCTGCAAAAACCCGGAGAAACGGAGCGCGCCCGTGTGAAGCCCTCGGTGGCTCTGGCGCTGCCACTGGGCATGCTCCAGCGCCCTGAGAAGGCAAGAGGCAGGTGGGGACTGGGGTCTGGAACACCACGGTGGGTGGGCAACGCCTGTTAGAACCTAAGGGGATGTTCCAGATTGTGGCCTGAGGCTCTGCGCCTCTCGGTTTGAAGCAATAGTTATCTTAGACTACAGCCTGGTTTCTAGAAAACTGCCTGGCTCGTGCAGGTGAAATTCCTGAAGACTGATTAAAAACAACCATAATGATGATAATCTGTTACTCACTTTCTTTTTCCTTATCTCTTCCTGAACGCCTGTAGAAAAGTCCTCCAACTGTAAGTCCTCTCAAGAGCCTTTCCTCTCTTAACCCACTCGTCTCCCATTCAAAGTCTGATCATTGAGCACTCACCACGTGCCAAACACACTGTAAGGACCAGAGGGCTGGCACGTGGGGAGAGGCTAAGTTAAAAACCAAACCTAAGTATTTCCTTGGCTGCAGGCAGCTTATCTTACAGTGGAGTACTGGGAGCCTGGGGCATGGATACAAATCAGTGAAACTCGGGGAGTTGAATTCTTAGGTTTAATAGACGAAGTTCACCAATTTCATCCAGAGACATGGGCACCTGGCTTTCCTTAGGGTGCTGATCAGAACCTGATTAAAGTAGATGACCCCAAGAGTCTCAGACACAGGTTGTCTGGAATTGCTCACCAGAAAAAAAGGCAGGAAAGAGTAAAATATCCAGATGTTGATGAATCCGCAGAAGGAATAGAGAATGTGGGGGATGCTGTGGCTGGGTTTTATTAACTAAAGGACAGAATCCCTACTTGTTTAATCACTCAGTCCATGAATTAACCACTTCCCAGCTGAGGAACTATTGTAAAGTAGTAGGAACTGTGTTCCTGCTGTGGTCAGCCAAGAAACATGCTTTTCCTAGATATTAATTGTAACAATGATTTCTTTAAAACATTTAAGTAAGTGAATGTATCTGTGATCATCAGTAGAAAAACAGAATTAGGGTGAAGAGAGGTCTTGCTTTTCAAAATATGTACTCCAGAGCATATTGTGAGTGACTTATTTGTTCCATTTCGGTAGAAATGGCTTTCAATAGGAATAATGTGGTTAGTTGTGAAAGTATAAGACAAATGTGAAAAGTGAAACAACTAGAAAAGAGCTACTGGACAATTCATTCAGCAAATAAAAAATCAAGATTTTCTTTTACATGTAACTGTTTCACATTATTCAGAAAATGTCTCTGTCTTTGCATGTTCTTTTATTCATTATTTGAGTGTATTTATCTATTCAGCAAATAAAAAATCAAGATTTTCTTTTACATGTAACTGTTTCACATTATTCAGAAAATGTCTCTGTCTTTGCATGTTCTTCTTTTATTCATTATTTGAGTATATTTATCTTTTCAAGGTGTTTCTATTTTGGACAATCTACTTGAAAAATACTTTACAACAGGAATTTCTGTCATGTAGAGCACTAGCATTCACTAGAGGAAATTATCTTCATTCTATTTAGGATTACTTGTTTGATTAAATTCAGCAATTGAGGACCAATCCTGTAGAAAAGAAGTTAAGTGCTGTGTGGAGGAAACCTGATCCCTCATGGCCTACTGTGGTTTGAATCCTCATCTCAACAGATTTTGATGGGATGAAGGAGGAAGGATTGCACTGGACCAGCCCTGTTAATAGGGTCCTTTCCCTTTCCCTTTCCTTTCCCTTCCCTTCCTTTCCCTTTCCCTTCCCTCCCTTCCCTTCTCCTCCCCTCCCCTTCCCTCTCCTCCCCTCTTCTTCCTCCCCTCCCCTTCCCTCTCCTCCCCTCTTCTTCCTCCCCTTCCCTTCCCTTTCCTTCCCTTCCCTCTCTCTCTCTCTCTCTCTCTCTCTCTCTCTCTCCCTTTTTCTGGCATAGGCATGTGCCCTAAGACGTTAAAAAAATTCAACTATTGCATCTGTGGTTATTATTTACTGTAAAATCTACTTTGTTTACAAATCAAGATATCACATGTAAACTGATTGTCCCAACTTAAATAATCTGTTTTTAAAAACGTGATTCACTTGACACATAACGTAAGATTTTCTACATTATTTTCAACTTAATTTCCTATTTACAAAAATTCCAAATGTTTAAGAAAAGAATAAGGAGATACTTTATACCCCAAGAGAAAACATTTACAATGGTTTATTTGTTTTCTGATTATGTTCTCATTAAAGGAAAACAAAAAAATAATGTACAATAAAATGTCTACAAAATTTTACATATGAACTAAATTTAGATCTAAATGTAGATATTACAGACAACGGGGCACTCTGCCACGATAGCAAGTGCTGACAGGTTGGTGCTCTTGCTCCACCTGGCATGGAGCTATTGGCCAAAGGGAGTCACTTAGCTTCTGCCTTCACTTTCTTACCTGGGGAGATTAAGCTGTTGGACTGTGTGACCATTAAGAACCCTTCTTTCTGTAAATTTTTATAATTGTATATTGGCTATATAAATCAAAAGACCATCCCCTGAATGAAAAGTTATTTTATATGTTTAACATTTAGTGAGTTAATTAAATGCTTAGAGAAGCACAAAAAAATCTTTAAATACATGAGTTTGTTATTTTACAAAAGATCCTTAACATCCACCAAGTGTGCATGTCTTTAAAGAATTTGTGAAATATGTGCATTATGATGAAGCTATGCATGGAATTCAATATTTTTCCACAAAACAAACTCATATTTTAGCTCCATTTTTTCACAAACCTTTGAAGTTCTTCGTATTATAACGTTTCTTGAATATGCTTTTAGACATTGGAAAATTTTAAATTGTTTAGGGGTATCATTTCTGAAAATCAAAATCTATTTGGAGAGAGTTTTGTAGAGATTTACAGAATAATTTTTGTGTACTTTTTCTCTAACAGTATCTTTGATGAGTTAACTAATGGACAACCACACATTTCATAGCACTCATACAGAGGTAAAGAAAATTGTCCTGGGGTCAGAGGGCATCATGGTAGTTAAGGCACTAGAGTCCCACAGGGCTGCAAAGTTCGAGTCTCAGACCGGGTGATTTGTTTTTTTACTTTCTCTCTCTCTCTCTCTCTCCCTCTCTCCCTGGTGACTATAGAAAATACATAATAATAATAATATGAGACCAGCAGTTAGACTAATGGCTATGTCTCTGAACTCCCATGTAGCTGATCACAGTTTGAGTCTCGGACCCGGTGACTTTAACTTATGCCGGGAGCATGTGTGCACGTGCCCAAGATCCCAAGAGGAAAATGGAGGAAGAAGGGATTGCGGCATGGCCATCCCTCCTGGAGAATGATTTCTTGCTTTCTGTCTCTCTGTCTCTCTCTGTCTCTCTGGTGAGTGCTCGTGCCCTGTAGCAAAAACCTCTCCAAAAAAAAATAATAATAATGAAATGATAAATTAAATAAGTAATGCCTTTAAGAAAGAAGATTGTCCTATAGTTTTTATGATATGGGATGATACATCTGAAAATGACCTGGGAAGACTGATTAACAAAATTTACTCATTTGGGGTTGTAAATATCTAAACCTTGCACCATGTGGTCATTTCATTCTGGAAGATTTCCTGGGATTCATACTCTATCACGTGTCTATGAAAATTGTATTGCCTCAAATCCAGATTCAAGGTTTCCATGTAGACATAACCTATAAAGCTGCTTTCTCAGTAGATTTATTTCAGCTTCTGAAGTCAATGAATAGCTTTCTCACATCCAACATAGTGAACATGTCTTTCTTTTGTCTATATTAGATTCTTTAAAATAAGTTGTCAGATGCAGTCTGTTTCATTTTACATAGACATATCAAGGCCAATAATTGAGGACAGGTTCTGAAATTTAGATAATATTTGAATTAATTCAATGTTATCATTAAAATGTTACAACATCATTGGCAAACATAGGCTGTTTCAGAAATACATAGGTCATCCGTGCTGTGGTCAATCTACTATAGCAAACAGTAGGCCCAGAAATGAAGCATTAAAATTCACTCTAACAAGAACCAGGAACAAACAAGGCCTGGCTAAACTCAGATATGTCGGAGAAAGACAAAAGTCCTTTGAGATTTTGTGAAGCAGGAAAGCCTTCAGAGACAAACTCTTCTGTTTTAGATAAATTAGATAAGGCAAATAGGACTCCGTAAGCAGTTTGTTGATTAGAATCTCTCACAACTTTTTCCTCCTCTCCTTCCTGAGGTAAATCTGTGGTGTCATTGAAGGCCACCTTGATGAGGATTTCCCTAGCATTAGCCAGTCCTCTAGCAAGTGTCTGTAATGAGCACTGTAACAGGAAGACAGGGTTCATGAGCTGTGTCTTCAGAGACCTGGCCTGAAATGTGCCCAATTAGCTCTTGCAGATGAAGAAATAGCTTTAGTTCACATCTTCTGCTATCATTTGGTTTCGATTTATAAATCACCTCTACTGGCCTCAATCGGCTTCTTGAATTCCCCAAATTGCACATCATGTCGTTGGGCAGAAAACCAGTATGCTGAACGATCCTCCGAAACAAGTCATCTTTTAGAAACTCTAACCAGTAAATTCTAATAAACATTTAAAAAAGAAGAAAGAAAAAAAGTAACAACACTTCACATTTAAGTGATATTCATGCACAGTACTCAATATTTTTTGAGTTTCTTTTGGCGTTAGAATAACTAAACTTTTTGTCAGTTTCAGTCTCTGACAGGAAGACTTCCCTGTTGTAAAAATTCATAGCCCAATTATGATCTCTGGTGGAAGCAGACAGAGTTGCAATATCCTGAGAGCCATTCCTGTTACTCACTAGAGACCTAAAGATATTGACAAACTGCTCATTCATACTGAGGTCTCATGATGTAGAACCTCCTTGGTTGTTATAGTTACACACCCACACCTTGTTTTCACCCCACAGCCTTTCTAAGACATGTCTAAGGGCATTGAGATAGTAAAACACAGATGATTGTTTTCATGTACTCTTTTCTACCTATAGCTGAATCATAGCACCCGAACAACTGGAGAATATTGTGCTGTTACCTGCTATTATTTTTACCCAGTAGATGTTCAGCACAGGGCTGGTGTTAATTTATCTTACTTTTTTTGAATATATATATACATATGTGAAATCATTTAGTGAATTGGTTATGTTAACATAATGAAAATATAACTTTTTTCCTAGACTGATATTAATCTTTTTCTTCATATTTCCAAAGAAATAAAATAGTTTCCTAAATCAGATTCTTTCGACAAATGACACACGGATTGTTAAATAAGGAAGAGTATTTAGAAACATTGGCATACCACTTGTCCTTTTCAGATAATGAGTCTGCCTTTGATGAATAAATTTCT